TCATACAAAAAGGCCTTAGGCCAACAGAGGTCGCTTTCTGCCTAGCACATTTCTTTGATATTAGGGGAAAAGTGAATGTTCAAAGAGCCTTTTGATTTTAATTGTTATTTGGTCGAAGTTCTTAAAAAATGGATGGGAAATAATTTAGGACGAACTAAAATTGATTAAATTAACATAAATAAATAGTTCCTTATAGTTTGAAGTACTTTTTGTGTGAGTATTATTGACTTTAAAAAGTGGCTCAACCTACAGACCTCTTTTTCAAATTGTCATTTTTTGGCACTTTTCAAAAAAAATTATTTTTTAGTTTTCCCAAGGGGAACAAAATTTTGTTGTTGCTTTATTTTACAGCTAAAAGACTAAGCTTTCGATCGGTACCTAACACGTGAAGTTTCAAAAGCGAATGTCCAAATGGGAGACTAAAAACAAAAGGTGGCTCAACGTACAGACCTCTCCCCTATAAAATCGAATTTTTATAAATTTTTAAAATCTTAAGGACCGTTTTCTCGTCCGTTAGTTAAATTTAAAGTAGGGCTAAAACCTTTAAACCGTGAAATCATTGTTTTAATCCTACTTTAAATTTAACAAACGCACGAGAAAACGGCCCTGAAAGATGTGGCCGCCAAACACATTTTAAAATCGTTTATGGCGATTGTGGGCATTAGGGATAAATTAGTTTAAATTATATAAGAACAAATATTATTGGTTAAACAAATCATGAAAAACAGGACAAATTTATTGTTTTATATGAATCTCCCCTCCAAAAAAAGTAAACTTTGTACTTCAATTTATAATTAACTAACTAAAAATATGGGAGAAGGGGGCACTAATAGGAGGATAAGTTTGGTTAGACAAAGCAGCTATAAATAAAGAGCCATTGGAATAATCATCGGAAAGGCTGTTCTTTTGGCTATAACTTTTTCCTACATCATTTTGAAGTCAATTGCAAAGCCTTCAAGGAACGATGCAAAATGTCAATATACTTTTTAAACTGGTCTAGCCCCAATACTGGGGTAATAACAGTACAAAACTTACTTTCGCTGTTAACGGTGTAGGGTAAAAGAGATAATTTTCATAAAATTTTATTGGACTCTTTAGACACCAATCCTTTGATCTAAAATAGAGTGTGGTTCTTTTTTCTAACCTTTCTTTTGCTGTTAAAAATGCGGTTATAGTTCTTTGACGCGGAGGTGCATATTTTTGTAAGTTTATTATTTTTCTTCCTGGATTTTAAGAATTCCATTATTCCTTAAAAATTTCGCGTTGTCAAATTTTTGTTTTGCCGCCCTTAACCGCTACTTAGGTCATTTTGCTTAGTTTGACTGCAATCTGGCTCATCAAACCAATACTGCGACTATGACCAATAGTTCTACCCATGTACAGAAGTCATAAAAAATAAAAGAAAGAAAATGTGTTATCATATAGAACCATCTACTATTTCCACCCCAGAAGGAATGTTTGAAGTTTTGCTAAATACCACACATGTTAAAGACCAACAAAATGTTTAGTAAGAGAAACGCGTTGGGCATGAAATTTCCCTACAGAAAATAAATATTTAAAAAATCTCACGAGCAACCAATGTCCAATAAAGTGTCCCGAACAGAATGAGAAGATTTTCAGGAATTTGACATTGATGGAAATTGGTTCGTAATTTCTTCAACTGAGTTCAAATTTTTAATGCAGCCCTCTGGTGTTCTAAGGAACCTTCAGTAAACACGGCGCGAAATTTAAACGAGCCGTTTGGCCGCTATGGCTACATACTATTGATGCCCTTGTACTATTTTTTTTGGTCATCGCCGCATAAGGCCGAGCGTGGCTGCTAGGAATTTTGAATTATAATTGTTTATTTTATTTTATCATACCCAGAAGACTTTATCATATAGCGGTCATATGAACGATTGGAAAATTATAGGGAAAATATATATAACCTCGTATTTGTGATACGAATTCGCAAACACCTCAAACTGTAATAATTTTTTAAGATTAAAAAATGTTAAAAATGTTTTAAAAGCTAATTTTTTCGTGAGAACTTTCGGAAAATTTATATGAAACAAAACACGAAGTAAAAAAGACGAAAAATGATTTCACAAAACGATTCCTGTACTGCAAAATATTCACAAAATTTTACGGCCCCAACGTACAGGATTTCTCAACTCCCCTAACAAACCCCTATTGGAAAAATCTTAAGATTGCGTACTTACATAATTACTTACCAATGCGAATTTGCAAATTTACAGATTTAGAGTACTCGAAAAAAGCATTATAATTTAAAATTAAATGTAAATTCAATGTTCATTTATTTTCATTAATACATTTTATCATCTGCATGTCACATCATCATTATTACTCGCTGCTTGGCTATCTGTTATGCTCATACATAGTTTTTGTCATGTGTACTTGCTTATGTTACTTCTTAAACAGTATAAGTAGATAAATATGCTGAGCTACTATTAAGAACTACATTATACTCTTCTCTCTGTAACATAGAAATACAAATGCATACTTGCGTTAATTCAATCATATCAAATAATATACATTGATCGATCGGTCTTTATGGGTTTTTATCAAATGTTTACAGTTATTTTGTGCATCGTCATTGTATTCTAAGATATAAAATCAGAATTTAGATATAATGCTCTTTGTAAACGGTATAGCGCCGTCAAACCGTGTGTACCATACAAATTTCGTTTTGAGAAAAGTCAAACATAGCAAATTATATCAATCAGTTACTACTTAAATTTTTTTTTTAATTTTTCTAAATAAAATAAAAAATGCTACATTTAAAAATGTATTGCGCCTGTACCGTTTACAAAAAAAACCAGAGTGCACATCAACAAAAAGTTTTGAAATGTTTGCTTATAATGGAAACAAACTGTATGCCTTTATGATTATGATGTCTTTATGTAAAAAAATAAAACATTGTTCAGGATGGGAATGAGGGAAGGTGAGTTAGGGTAAACTTAGTAATCATCTCCTACTCTGTTTGCTGTCGCAGACAATGCGGCCGAATGCTAGTCAGAACTGTTAGCCATCTACTTTTCAAATTTATAGAAAGCTGCTCTTATATAAAACTGTATGTATGTAATGTGTGCTGTATGAATATGTGTTATCCTAGCGATTCATTATATTATTTTGACTGTTGTCTTATTATGTAGTTAGTTACGGTTCTATTGTATGAATCTATGTATGTTTGTATGTAGTATGTAATGTTGCTTGTAAGTATGATATTAAGTAATTGATTAAGTAACAGTACGGTCCGCATTTTTAATATCCTGTCAAAGTAAAAACAGCTTGTAAGGTTGAAAAATATAAAAATATGTTTTAAAGCTTTATAAGCTATCAACACAATGACAGGAAGTCTTGGATACAGGCCTAAGTAGAGCAATGCATATTTTTAAGGTATTCACTCATAGAATGGGACTGAATCTAGATTTCGGTTTATACCGTTGGATCGTAATAAATTCGGTTTAGTGTTCAGGTTTGCTGTGGCAGTACAAGAATACAATTCGCCCAGAGCTTAAAATGTCTGGAAATTGAAAGAATTTAATTATTTCAGGTTGTACTGTAGTAGACAAACTAGCACAGATTAATGGAAAATAATGCCGAATACGAAAACATGACGAAGCTTACACTAAATGCACAGTAAACGTGTTATATTTAAGTTTAGTCGCAGCAAAATCAAAATTTATGATTACACTCCACCGATGGAATATGGCATGTAGTCTGTTTACTGTCTGTCTTCAATTAAAATTTGTAAATAGTTAACTTGCTGAGGCAAATTTAGTTTTGCCTACAGTATCAAAACATGTTTATCGGACTAAATTATAGACACGCTTACATAATCACGATCTAATATATTGAATTAATCACTATATATAGACTATGTATATAAATTTTAACCTTTTTATTTTCACACAAAGGTAGCACAAGATGCTTCAATATATTTTTTATATATTATACGATTTTTAAATCATCCTTTTTCCATTCTGTATTAATTTGTAGTTAAGTTATATTAAATTTACAAAGTTTATAACGTTTCACCTAAACATTTCTTGTATAAGTAAGTATGTGTATGATGTATGTATATACATATATATTTTATTTAATGTTAAGAATCACTTCTCTATACTGCTTGGTTCATTTACAAAATAAAATGGTATTATTTCAAAAGAAACATTAAATAAAAACAAAACAAAAAAGAACATAAAACTTATAGTTGAGTTCTTTGAATTTCACCTTTACCATATTCAAAATACCTACCACGATTTTAAATATACATCAATGCATACTAAACACACATACATAAGTTTCATTTGATCTTATACGATTACATTTACATATGCGTAGTCATCCGCAGTCTGCATTATACTGTCTTTAAATGACTTATACCTAATTTACTACGTGCTTTTTTAATAAGCATTTCTAATAAATTTTTTAATTTCAGTCAAAATATCCTTCGTACAGGGTCTTGCACGAGGATTTAATAAGATTAAGTATGTGGCTTTTTCCAACATTTTTCGGATTTCAGATTTCCTGTGTTAAGAAAAATTATAATCCACCTAAGCCATTCCGAAGGCATGCAGCTCTCTCTGTGTAGTATTGTTTTACTATTTATTGGGCATTACCTTCAGTATGTTCCTAGATAAAACAAGGGAATGTCGAAAAAATCATTTAACTGACAGTCAAGCAGTCAGCTAAAGCTATAGCGGTGATGATTTAATAATCGCTACATCGCTTTATAATTTCTGCAGATGGGCATACATTATATTCCTTACGCGCACATACCCCAGTAATTGATTTCGAAAAACCAGAAGGACACAATTATAAGGAGGACAGTAGACATAGTGGCTAGGCACTTTATGGTGGTATATGCATTTAGCAAAATTGCTAGTGCTCTGTATACCTGGCCGTTTGTATTGCATATGATCTGTTTCACAATAACATTCTGCTATCCTCCTTCTGTTCTTAAGCGGTATCAGTTATATCTAGACCACTATATCTAACTGTTAATGTTCTTGATATATTTAATTGTTTTACTTATTAATTCTATTTCACCTTTCTCCTTTCTATCTGATCTATTATAATAAATTTTGAGTTAGACTAACCCAATCAATTGCAATTACATTTCCAAATCAATATCAGTAAGCATATTATGTGATTCCAACCTTTCCTATCCACTACTTTTTATCACCGACAATATTAACATAGTTGGAGAAGAGTGATAAAAGATATTAGGTGATGATGGAATTCTTAAAAAAAATGCAGAACAGGGGAACACAAAATATGATTTTCATTTGAAATTCACCGGTCATATTTTATAATGGCGGATGTAGGGCTAAACAAGCTGCTAGATGTTGGAGCGAATTCTATTATTCCAGGCGTATACCGCCGAAACGTGGGTTGCAACGCGTTTTCAACTAAATAGTGGATACCGAGGATCGCAACAATGCTTAGGACTAAAGGTGAGTTTATCCAATACGCTGACAAACAGCAAGATTGATTTAATGGCAGTGGAAAAAAGGACAAGATCCAGATCCATAAAGCGAAAATGTGTTTATCTGCTGGCGCTGTGCCACTATTGTATGTTAGCTCTTCGTTCTTTACTACCTCGTTGGGATGTTTGTTGTAGTGGTGGTGGTCATCTGAAAATATTATTTAAAAAATTTTTTACTACAGGTAATTAAAATTACTAATTATTTTCAAATTCAGAGAAAAAGTTTTGTTCATATACGCACGGAAAACCCACACATATCTCGCACACAAATAAACACTATTGAAGTGATTTTGGCTTCACTAAAATTTCCATAGAACGTTGCCTCTAATTAAAGAAAACTCTTAAACTCAGATAAAACCTAACAAGATATTAATAAACATTTTTCAACCCAGTAATTTAACGAAATCACAAAAGTTTTGATGGCGTTAAATTAACAACAAAATAAGCAATACGACTTTAAGTCTGGTACCCATTTTAATCAAAAAGGCAAAATTTCTATACAAAAATGACCGGCGGAAAATTTTGTGATCAAAATGTTGTATGGAGATTTTAATTTCGTAGGCTTTTCGAATGAAGTGAGTAGGGGAGAGTGGGGGAATTTCGTCACAGGGGCAATTTCGTCACCTGCAATATCTCGGAATCCATAAGTCGTAAAAATATATAATTTTTTTGTTTTAGTCCTTCAAGAAGGCCAGACACAACCAATGCAATTGTGTTGCACAGAAGGCCAAGATAATTAAGCTATAATATTAAATGTGTTTTAACAGTTCAAAAGCTACATTTAGTTCTCGACGAAATTTTTTCTGTATGCCACAATTCAAAAGGAATAAGATACACGATTTTTTATATAATACACAGTGCTATAATGTGCATTTCTGCGTCAGTGATTTTTAACTTCGCGCCTAATTTCGCAAGAAAAATAATTATTTCTAAAAAAGCACGGTCTGGGGAAATTTCGCCACCCTACGCTAAGGGTAAATTCGCACCTATTTTAAATACATATTTTTATATTTGACGAGCTGGCTAACGAACAGAGCAGCAGCAACAAATATAGGACGTCAACAAAAATGGTACGCTTGATCAGTGTAGCATATTTTCAGACGAAATTTCCCCAGTTGTGTGGTGATTTTACCCCCCTGTGTGGTGAGATTGCCCCAGTATATTGGTTTTACATTTTTTTTTTTTATAAATCACCAAGCTAATTAAAAAAATAGGGGAATGTCACATTTTAAAGCTTGGTGCTAACCGCATTCAACAATAAAAATATAAATATGATAACGTGTCTCAAGATGGACAAAAAATAGCTTTGAAAAAATGCTGACGAAATTCCCCCACTCTCCCCTACTAGGCCTTAAGCAATATCGTTACTAGTAGAGTATTGTATTCGATGAAAAGTAATGTAGTCGGAATGGAATAAATTTTTATGAATTGTTGATCTGGTCAACTCGGGTCGAGAGTGACCTTTGCGGTCTCGTCTTTAGTGGAGGACACGCCAATAAAATTACTCTAAAACACGGGTGCTCAAAGTATAAAGTATATAGATTCTCAATCAGGATCACTAGCCGAGTCGATCAGTACGAATGTGCCGCTAGGGCTGTCTATAGTACACATTTTTTTAAGTTTTTGTAAAAGTAGGAATAAGTTTATGATTTTTTGATTATAAATATTCATAAACCCACCAAAAGTTTTTAAAATCTGTTATTCATTAAAAAGTTAGAAGAAATCCAAGTTGTTTCCGACAGATAGCAAATTTGAAACATCTAATAGTCTAGTCACACTATGTGGGGTAACCTATCGAGAGAGCCAATAACTCCAAAAAAATGTTTCCACTTGGTTAACTCCAAATATCCAGTAATGACATCTAGTGTTTGTTGTTTGTGTTGTTTATTTGACTAGGGATGGACCTTCACCTATAGGATTTTAATAGAAAATATACCTGTCTCCCTGTTACATACTTTTACACGAATACAATATACCCTTTTACTCTACGAGTAACGGGTATAAAAACAGGGTTATGTCAAAAACCCCACAACTCCATAACTCCACCGCAGTGTAAATAGACTATAAATCTGTTGCTTTTTCAAACACATTTTTAGAGCTAGAGAGCAGAGCATGCAAAAAACAGTTGACTATTTGCTGTCTCAAAATAACTGTCACTTTGGCACCCTTTGAGCAAATATTTATTTTGTTTCAAAAGGTTTTCGGTCTTTGCTCAACCAGTAACCAGTGTTGGGAAAGGTACTGTGTTTTTTTTACCTATGTAAGGTAAAAGGTATTGGGCAAAAATAAATACCTAGGTAAGGTAAAGGTACTTCCATATCCCAGTACCTAGGTAAAGGTAAAAGGTAAATATATTGTTTTTTTTATTTTTTATAAAAGCTGAGCTCAAGGAACCGAAAAACGAGTTTTCATTTTTCTTACAAAGTTCCATATTTGTCTTAGCTTTCTTAGCGTTCATGGCCTCGTAGTCCGTGTAACTGCTTGGATGAACCCTCTAAAGTTGTTGAAATTAAATCCAATTATTTATAAATATAAGCTTAAATAATGAATAATTGTATGCACGTATAACTTCATTAATATATTTGGGACGTTCCATATCAACCCGGCCACCCCCTTTTTTGATTTTTTTTCTATGTGGACAGTACCACATTGATTGCAAAGCCCCTTGCTTCCAATATTTTACCTCATACCCATTTTGTCAATCTTACCACTCTTTCGCCGTATATTCGCGTTGAAAAGAAAACACAAAATCATTTTTAACCTGCGAACGAAAGACACAATCGGCATGGTTCAAAAGCAGAAAAATCTGTCTTTCCATGGCCGATTACGAGAAAAATAATGGATTTTATTAAAAAGGCCCCAGATTTATGGGATTTTTTGCCACTGGTTTTAAAGTGGGATCTCTCTTGAGTAATTAGCTATGAATTCTTTTGTTCGTTTTTAGTGTAGTTAACTGTCAGAAAGAACTAATAAGTAATTTAAAATAATCGTATATGCTTTGGAAAAAATTAATAAATCAATGAAAATAATTCATAGATAATTCCACAAGATAGATCCCACTTTGAAACCAGCGGCATAAAATTCGTTAAGTATGGGGCTTTCTGAGAAAAATATAATGGTATTTTTGCAGACTGGCCCTTTGGACGAAATCCTACTTTTAGACTTTAAGAACGCTATCGCTTGGTCATCTACGGTCTAATAAAATCTATTTTTTTTCTCGACATCGGCCATGGAAAGACAGATTTTTCTGCTTTTGAACCATGCCAATTGTTTCTTCCGTTCGCAGGATAAAAATGATTTTGTGTTTCCTTTTCAACGCGATTATACGGCGAAAGAGTGGTAACATTGACAAAATAGGTATAAGGTAAACTATTGGAAGCAAGGGGCTTTGCAATCAATGTGGTACTGTCCACATAGAAAAAAAATCAAAAAAGGGGGTGGCCGGGTTGATATGGAACGTCCCATTTATGAAACCCTCATGTACATATTTGGCGCGCAAAAATTCCGTATGTAGAAACATTGACTATATGTATATTGTGCATATGTATATGCCGTTTGTTTACGTACAGTTGCGAAAGAAATAATAGCACCACTTCGTCACAGGTTCTTAATATTAAACAAATATGTGGAAAACGGGGATTTTTATATAAGAAGTGTTTTTTATTATCTTGATTAATATTCCACCTATTTGAAAAAATTGATACGGATATCGAAAATGTTGTTTACACATAATTTTTTCAGATTTTAAGAAAAAAAGGCCGAAAAAAATAATAGCACCACTTCCGTTTTCTTTAAATAAAACGGTACAATGCGCTAATATTCTTGTGTATAAAGAATATATTTTATGAGATTTGACTAAAACTAACTTTTCCTGATATCCAGACATCAAATCGATTACCATTTGGCAATACAAGGACATGTGGAAAATTTTCCAAGTCGGAAAAGAAAAATATTGAAAAAAGAAACATATTGGATAGAAAACGGTCATGAAAACCGGTTCGATTGGTTAGGTTTTTGATCATCTTCATTAAGAGTGGCATAAACTTTGAAGGATATCACAGAAAAACCGAGTCCTGGCACATTTTTCCTTCCAAAATGTTATATCACAAAGCGCAAAGAATCTTATCAGGGCCAAAACTAAACTAAAACACGTGCTTAAAATAATAGCGAATATTTTAATAGTTGTATAATGTTTCAATAAACAAATTTATAAAATATGCACTTAAAAAAAATCCTATCCGAAATGCGAAACACATTTACAAGGACATAGGGCTCGTCAAAAAAACTTACAAATGAATGCCCGCAAACTTATGAGAATGTGTGAAGGCAAAGTTAAATTGGGTTTTTTTATAAGTCATGTGTCTTCTAAACACCTAAATTGACCAAAAACATGGTACCAAAACATCCATTTATTGAGCATGGACCTAGTATTAACATAGGCTTGTTTTTCCTTCTTGAAGTAAGATCAATACGGATGAATACATCGTTCATGAATCATCCTATGATGTAAATAGTAATACGGTAGTAATTCGTAGCTTAAACTGAATACAAAATACTTCTTAAATGAATCTTTGACCAATAAAATCCGGCCAGGATCACGGTCAGGATAGCAAAGAAAGAGTTCGAAAGTACTCAGTAAGCAGTATACATTGACTTGTGTACTCGCTTGACCATAACACAACCAAAAATCTTTGAGTTTTTTTTTTAAAGACAGTTTATACAGTTAATATAAAACGTCTTAAATCATTTCCGAATAAATTTGAAAATATTTCATGACTTTTGGGCCCCAATTCCTTTATAGGTAGGGTCCTGACTTGTTTAATCGATAGTAAGTCATTATATCCAAAAATCGCAAAAGATATTTACACTTTAAACTACCGCCAACTAAAGATTACACTTTAAACTACCGCCAACTAAAGATTAAGTTACCCATTTGTAATTTTTCTACCTTTTATTCTATTTTTAGAGAAGTGGTGCTATTATTTTTTTGTAGGTCTTTCCAGTTTTGCATACATTTTCTTAAATAAGTCCAAAAACCTTTAATAAATCTAACATTTTTTTTCATATTCAAATTATGTTTAGTCTTACTATTTAAAACCCGTTTTGTGAGTAGGGTGACTAGTTAAAATTTTTTTGGGTTAGTGGTGC